CGTTGTGAAAATAACAAGTGGACCAGAGAAACCACCTCTGATGGAGGTGGTGAGAGAAGGTGAGAGCGGCGATGAGTGGGAGGAGAGGAGAGCATGTCACTGATATTTTCTCATCCCGAGAAGGCGCGTAGTGTACAGTACGACGATATTGATGGCCCTGCTGATCGATACAATACAGTGCAATAAGCTTTGGCACTTGATTCAAACGGAGTGTACCCCAATTAGAGTAGACATGCGGTTATGAGAAGGGAGTGTGGATTTCCGAGGGATCTTTGCGGAATTTATGCACGTGCCTTCCTGGGAGGGGTGTGGTGTGAGCGCATCATCCACGTGGGTGATGACGTGACTCTCGCTGGAACTTCTGCCACGTCGATTACGTCGTACGCAAGCAATCCAGCTGCCGTGTGGCAGCGGATCAACCGGACTAGATTGTTCTAGCGCGCGTTCTACAGAAGGGCTTATCCTTCGGTAGTGACAGTACCGTAAATTGTACAATCCATGTCCATCCGACCTTCTTGGGCATGACTTGAGCCAATAGAGGCAGAAAGTTCACAGCGAAAAACATGAAACTAAAACTTCCTTCATTACGTCTTCAGTCATATGGGATCCGCCTAACCTCTTCTACAAGCTCCACCCCAAATTCCTCTCTCACCCTTCTCTTCACCTCCACAATCAGCCCTTCCATATCCTCACTACTACACACCCCATCATTCACTAGAAAATTAGCATGCATCGACGATACAATAGCATCTCCCACACGCAGGCCCTTCAGCCCTGCCCGGTCTATCAGAGCTCCTGCAGAGGCAGGGAGAGTTGCTGCTGCTGATGCACCACCTGCTGCTAAAAGGGTTGGTGGTGACGAGCCAAGGGGAGGTGCGGGGTTGCGGAATATGCAGCCAACGGAGCGATCGGCAATGGGTTGGGATTGCCGGCGCCTGGGGAAGAAAACGGGGCAACAGATGGTGGGGTGGGGTGGGGTAGAAAGGTTAAACAGAGTGCGAATTGAAAGTGAGCAGGGGCAGCGGATTGGGAGTGTGGTAACTGCTGTGTTAAAAACGAGTTCGCGGATCAGCAGGCTCCTGGCAATAACGAGTGCGTGGATCACACAGCACACTGCAGAGGGAAGGAGACTCAGAGAGGGACATACTTGCTTAGGCAGGTTTTGCACCACGTGTTTGCCCTACACACCAGGTTAACTTGGCAGTAAAACATCTCAGCCAACAGACATTGGGCACTGCCCTTACCTGTCCATGTATCTCTGCTGCCTGTCCCTGCGCCTCACTGCTTCTTGAGCCAAACGTGATCCCACTATGGCAGCGCAGACTAGAATGTGCCGGAGGAAGGGTGAGAGGCGGTACGCAAAGCCGCAAAGGCTTGAATACGGAGTCTAAGTGCAACCACTCACCTGTCCATGTGTCACCGCTGTCTGCCCCGCGCCTCACTGCTCCTTCTCAGCCCAAACAAGGCCCCCACTATGGCAGCCGCAGTCTGGCATGTGCTGGAAGGGCGAGTGGCGGTAAGCGAAGGGAAGGTGACTACTCGTGCCCCACCTGTACCCACGTACCCCACTCACCTGCCCCCACGTACCCCACTCACCTGCCCCCATGCGCTGGCCTCACCTGTCCATGTATCTCCGCTGCCTGTCCCGTGCTTCACTGCTTCTCTTGAGCCCAAAGGTAGCGCCAACAATGGCAGCGCAGTCTGGCATGTGCTGGAAGGGCGAGTGGCGGTAGGCGAAGGCGAGGCCGGAGCGCGAGAAGGAGAGGAGAGCCCCTGCAGGCGAGAGGACGTCCACAGCGAGCAACGAGTCGGCTGTTTCCTGAGGGAGAAAGGAGGGAGTGAGGGAGGGAAGAGAGAGTGAGGGAGGGAAGAGTGAGTGAGTGAGGGAGGGAGGGAGGGAGGGAGGGAGGGAGGGAGGGAGGGAGGGAGGGAGGGAGGGGAGGGAGGGAGGGAGGAAAGGGGTGCAACAAGGGAGAGATGATGAAGGAGAGGTTTGAGTGAGAGGAGGAGAGCAGAATCCCTGCCGTAGAGAGGACGTCTCCACAGAGAGAAGAGATTCGGCTGGTTCCTGAGGGGGAGAGGATGGAGGGAGAGGAGGAGAGGAGAGTCCTGGAGAGAGCAGGCACGCCCACAGAAATCATGGAGTGAAGCGGTCTGCAAATCCCTGAGGGGCGTGGGTGGGAGGTGGGTGGAGAGTTTGGGGATTCAAGAAGCATGGAAAGAGTTGTTGAGAGAGCGAGGATGCACAGGGAGAGGGGAAAATCAGTGTTTGAGGAGTCTATTTTTGAGGCGCCTCAAAAAAAGGGAGAGGGGAAAATCAGTTGCTCACCTGCCTGTCCGCCCCTGCGCTCATGACCACAGCACCCCCCACAGTCCCTGGCATTCCCCATCCCTTGGCGTTCCAATTTCCGTCTCAAACCCTATTTCCACCAACACTCTCCCCCTACGGTCTCTCACCTGCCCGTCCGCCCCCGCGTTCATGAACACAGCCCCCCCCACGGTGCCCGGAATGCCTCCAGCGAACTCCAATCCTGAAAGGCCTTCCCTGGAGCACTCCACGCCCAGCAGATTGAACGGGTAGCCCCCTCCCACATGCACTAGCATGTCATAGGCAGAGGCCTGGCTGGTGCTCCTGCCATTGCTGTTGCTGCTAGTGCTGCTGCTGCTGCTGCTGCTGCTGCTGGCAGTGCTTCCCTTGCTGGCGTTTTGCATGTCTGCACCCTTCTCCCCCTGCTCCCCCTGCTCCCCCTGCTCCCCCTGCTCCCCCTGCTCCCCTGCTCCCCCTTCTCCCCCTGCTCCCCCTGCTCCCCTGCTCCCCCTGCTGCACCTGCTCCACTCGCTTGTAGGCGATTCTGTTTACAATCACACACCCCTTAAAGCCCCGGTCGTCAAAGAGGCAGTTAGAGCCCTTGCCGATGACCACAGTGCGGATGGCGTTGCAGTGGCAGAACCTGGAGGGAGAATCATCGTTCACGGGCGAAGGGGGGGTTGAAGCGCAGAAGCGGGGGGTGGATTAGCGCCACCACCACTTCTTCATCTGCGCTGCAACCACTCTGACTAGACTTGAACGCGTTAGGTTGTTGAGAATTCTCAGAAACCTCACACAGCCTAGAAGTGGGGGGAGCATCAGCGCCACCATCACTACTTCATCTAAGCAGCAACCAATCTGACTAGACTTGAACGCCCTCCCACTAGCACTTACTTAAGCACTGCAGCCATTTCATCTACAGTGGTCACTTCGACCAGCCAGTCCGCGGGCCCGCCTATTCCCCACGTCCCCACTTCCGCCAACCGCCTTCCCCCCTCGAGAACTACGCTCCGTCCTTCCCCCACCTCCACCGCCAAAGCGTCCCCCCTTCCGCCCATGACCCTTCCGCCAGTCGCCCTTCCGCCTAGGCGACCTGTCCTTCCGCCAACGGGCTTCCGCCTTCCGCCTGTTCCCGCGCTCTCGCCGGCGCCATCATTGCGGTTGCGCAGATGCGCCGAAACGGGGGGATAGCTTCCGCAGATCAGGGTCCGACCAGCCTTGTCAGCAGCGACGTGGGTTATTTCAATGCCGCCAGCTGGAGCTTTTGGAAAGGAGGAAAAGACATTCCCGAGGGTGTGAATCCGCGGGAAATTCCCTGGGTAACTTGGGAACGAGACACTCCCTAGGTTCTTCGGCAGGCAGACGTTTCCTAGATAATTCATCTGCAATCTTTTCCTGGGCTTTTTCAGCTCATGCCAGGTCTCGATGCTGTCAGAACCCTCGAGGAACAAAGCCTCCTCTTCTCGTGGAAACAGGGCTCGCGCGCTATCTGGGATGGCTCAGGCCTTTTAGCGCGAACGAGCGGAGAGGGTGAGGACAAAAAGCGTCCGACACGGAGCGGCAAATTTGCACGCTGGAGCGAACGACTGCAGGGGAAGGGAGAGCCGTTCTCCACGAGCGGCGGATAATCGCGGAATGGTGGTTGCCTTCTAGGTTTGATCAGTGTCTGACGGAGCTACCGGCTAGGCACTCTCCTCCATCCTCAGCAGAAATGGAGGGCCTTGCTCCCGTAAAGCGACCCATCACAAGGCTCCATTATTCTGTGACTCTCATTATGGAAAGTCGCGGCAGAGCGAAGACGTGAAATTTGAAACAGTCGTTTGGAGTTCCGCCAAAAATTGGGGTGTCAGGGCGGGTGCGTGTCCGCGACAGATGAATACATACCCTCCGCAACACGGGTGAAGTCTCGGGCGCTAGGGGGTTTCCCCCCGGGGCTCGCAGGTGGATCGGCGTGGGAAAGGGGGCCTGGTTTCCTCCTGGGATCTCCTTAAAGCCCAAAAATAAAGACAGATTAATACATTACACAACGTTTACAGGGCAGTTTTCTGCAAGGAAATAAATCACTAACTCGTAAATTTATTTAACATAGATACCTCTCCGGACGACAAGGCTCAACGAGGACAACTAGAGGAAAAATAATGTATAGTATCTGGTGCAGATCGGGAGCATATAAATCATTTCCGATCTGTTACTAACTCCAAGCAAAACTACAAATCCTACACTATGTGTGCACTGACTGAACAATTATCTAGCTAGTCTAATAGAGAGCGGCCTCCTGATGAGCTAGTAGGCCTAGGAGCCAAGCCCGCCCCAGTGATAAAACCATACTGCAGCGCTTGAAGCTGCGCCAGTAGTACAGCTCCCGCTCCAAACGCCAGTAGGTGCATCGCACACAGTTTAAACGCCAACGAGGAGTAAACAGGCAACCCCAGGAGGATAAGAGAGAGCACTAGGTACTGTAGCAGCCAGTAAATCGCTGCTGTGGCGCCTACCAGGGCTTTAACCATCGAAAGACCGGAGAAGGTGCCGAATATGAAAAGCGCCCATCCGAAAAAGGGGTGTACGGTGGTTGGGACGAGCGAAAACGAGACAAACGCCGAGAGAGCTACGAGGGAGAGAGTGAGGAGAAACCGAAGAGAGAGGTAGGAGGAGAGACCCAAAGCACCCCCAGCAGCAGCAGCCGCTCCTGTAGCTGCTACCCCCCCGCCACCCCCACTGGGTGCGCCGCCTGGTGTGCCTAGGCCTGTTCCCAGCCCCCCTAAGCGCGAATAGGGACTGGTTGACCCAACTCCCCCTGCTCCCCCTCCTCCTCCTCCTGCTGCTGCTGCACTCCCCCCTATGCCTGAAACAACAGGGGCGGCACCTACGTGTCTGTATCCCCTGGTGAGGCGGTACAGGAAAGAGGACGGGTCGGCTGCCGCCCGGGCGATGACGTGGCTGAGTGCGAGCACTACGAGCCAGAAGACGCCGGCCGAGAGGCAGGCGGGGAGGTGGGAGGAGTAGCCGAGGGTGGAGAGGCGCCAGGAGTGCCATTGGAGAGAGAGGGCGAGGAGGGGGTAGGACCACCACAACCAGGGCTTTAACTGGGAGACCCCGGGGAAGGTGATGATCTTGTTGTCCGAGCAAGGCACTTCCCACTTGAATTTCAGGTCTGCAGGACGAGAAAGACGAGGGGGGGGAAGCAAAGCACGATGGGTAACTCACTTGTTACACTCACTGTAGAAGATTCGGCATCGCATGGGCAGCCGGAATTGCCCTTTCCCCTTCCCCCTGGCAGGTGCTAGTGATCTGGTTGCACCCATTGTAGAGCATGGCATCGTTTGGCAAGACTCGTTACACTCGCTGTAGTGGATGGTTCTTGGGGCGCCTAAAAAAAGCATCCGCTGGCAAGACTTGTGACTCAAAACACTCACTGTAGAGGATGGTGTGCATCTGGTAGCCCACGGAAAGCCGGTATCGCCCTTTGAGCGCCGAGCCGTGGTGAGGTGGTGCAATGAGGGGGGCTACTGCCCCATGTGACTACACCAGCATGTGCTACTGATCTGGGTACCCTCACTGTAGTAAATCACATCCATCTGGTACCCCATAGGCAGCCGGAATTGCCCTTTGAGCTCCAGATGACAATGCCATGTGATTGTAATCTGGTAGCATCTGCTGAAAATGTAACACTCATTATAGAGAAAGCACTCACTGTAGTAAATCGCATCCATCTGATACCCCATGGGCAGGCGGAATTGCCCTTTGAGCGCCGAGCCGTCGTCGGGCGGTGCAAAGAGCGGCGCACTGAGCAGCGCTGAGAAGTACTGGTTGAGGAAGCCCTGGTCCGCTGCATCGAAGGACGGGAGGGAGCGCAGCTGCTGCATCATGTCCTTGAACACCTTCACTGACGGCTGGGGTCATTTGGTTGGGATGGAGAAAGGGATGAGGAACAGCACAAACTGGGGGCTGTTAGGGAGAGCTGGTGAGTACTCGAAGAGGGGGAGCATCAAAGGAGGGGAGGGAGCGCAGGTGCTGCATCATGCCCTTGAACACCTTCACTGACGGCTGGGAGGACGGGTGGGAGGACAGGGGTTGAAGCATAGAATGAGGCGGAGCGGGGCGAGTGCACAGCTGCTGCATCATGTCCAACACCTTCACTGACGGCTGGGAGGAAGGGGGGCGAGCAGAAATGGGACGGACACAGTAATGGGGGTAGGGGGGTCGGGGGCTGTTGCAGCTGCATCATGCCCTTCAACACCTTCACTGACGGCTGGGAGGGGGGGTTTGGATAGGAGGACGGGTGGGAAGGAAGGGTTTGGAGAATGGAATGTGCCCTGGAACACCTTCACTGAGGGCTGGGAGCAAAATGAAGAGAGTAGAGAATGGAATGGGGGGAGGGGGAGCAAAGGGAGGTGGGGGGGCAGGGGAAAAGAGGGGGGGCCAAGGGGAAAAGAGGGGGGGCCAAGGGGAAAAGAGGGGGGGGCAAGGGGAAAAGAGGGGGGGGGGGGAAGGGGACAGGAGGGGGGAGCAAGGGCTGGCAATAGCAGTGGTGACTGCTCGGACGGCACACAGATTGATAAACACAGCATTCATGCTGCCACACAGAAAAAAACCCATCCATACGCATGGAAAGTAATCTACCAGGAGTAACATTCGTTCAAAGGTGACCTGATAAAAGGTGACTTGATGAAAGGTGGCATGATTTAAAGTTACTTGAAAAAAGGTGGCATTATAAAAGGTGACTCGAAAACGCACTCAGTACGACAAGGCTGGTACGGAGCGAGGCCATCTGCATTCCACAAGCGACCTGGAAATTACATGGGATTTACCTGGAAATTACCTAGAATTTTCTGTGCAACAACCTTGCAATGTCCTTAACCTTGGGATTACCTTAAAGCCCGAGTTCCAAGTTGCTAGAATTGACCACCAAATCTATTAGGTTTGATAGCCCTCGAAATTGGTGAGCTGGAAAAGTGTCGCGAGAAACTGTCGAAACGGTCTAGGGAGGATTCGCCACGCGCGAATTGCTGAAATTCGCCACTTCGCCAAACATTTCTCCACCCTCGCTACGCTCGCCAACTAACTCCCCCGCGGAACCCTGAACAGCCCCTTTGTCCGGGTAGCACCAAACCTAATAGGTTTGATCAACTTGGTACTCGGGCTTGAAGCACTATCAGCCCCGTAAGAAGCGTGCACAGGTTGAAGAGCACTGCACACATGCCACCACCCAGGCACAGCTCACCCAATTCCCCATGCTGCCTTGAACCAGAGATTACCGCGACATCACCTTGGGATTACCTTGAGTAATATCAGCCCCGTGTGATGAAGATGGCACACATGCTGCCGCATTGAAACACCTTGTCCACGTTCTTGAGCATAAGGTTGTCGGCACGGCACCCAGCAGCATGACCCGCTTGTACTCCCTGAGGCTACCTCGAGAATCTACCTTATAACGGATGTTACAAGATTGATGTCACCTTGGAATGGGGATTACCTTTAAGACAATAAGGCCAGTGTGAAACGTGCAGGGATTACCTTGGGATTACCTTGGGATTCTCTTGGGATTACCTTGAGCACAATCAGGCCAGTGTGAAACGTGCAGGGGTTGATGAACACAGCGCACATGCTGCCGCACCGAAACAGCTCGTCCACGTTCTTCAAGACGAGGTTGTCCGCGTCCAGCAGCACCACGCGCTTGTACTCCTTCAGGCGCCACGCCAGCAGCTTGTTCAGCGCGAAGGGGAAGCGCGGGTTGTAAGACGTGCTGCCCTTATAGGGGTTGGCGATGTTGTTCACACGCACCACGCGCACTCCCTCCTTCTTGCTGAAGGGGGGCGGGGGAAGGGGGGGTGGGGGGGGGAGGGGGGGGTGATAGCAATACGGATGATGAGAGAGGGGAAGCGCGAGTTAAGGCAAGGCGGTGCTTCCCCCGAAAGGGTTGGCGATGTTGCTCACACGGACCATCCGCGCTCACACGGACCCTCCGCGCTCACACGGACCCTCCGCGCTCACACGGACCCTCCGCACTCACACGGACCCTCCGCACTCGCTCCTTTTTCCTGGGGGGAGAGAGTGAGAAAGAGGTGGGGAGGAGGATGGAGAGTGGGGGGGAGAATGGGGAGAGGAGGAAGAGGGTTGGGAGAGGAGGGGGGGGGGGTATGAGTGAGCAGCCAGCAGCTCTCCATCTGCTCTCCCGCTGATGAGTGACCCGCTTGTACGCTCTGAGCCGCCACGCCAGGTGACTTTTGAGTCGACTCAAAAGTCGCTTGTGCGCTCTGAGCCGCCACGCCAGCACCCCTCCATCAGCTGGTTGAGGGCCAAGGGGAAGCGCGGGTTCTCGTTATTCTCTGGGGGTGACTAAGGCTTGAAGCACAAAACCAGTGCAGTATGCTTCTAATTTTCTCCAGAAACATACGGATCGAAGCATGACTCACTCCGCGTGTATGTTCCAGGAATTAGGGACGTCCGCCGACGCCAGGGCATTGAAACGGGTAAGAACGAGGACGATTCACTCACAGCGTATTAGTCCAGGAATTAGGGCCGTCGTCTGATGCGTTGCTGCAGCGGTATTACCAGTGTAATCTGCTGTTCACAATTTTCAAGTTGAATTTGACTTGAACGGAACAAGGTTTAACTCACAGCGTGTTCGTCCAGGAATCAGGGACGTCCTCCGACGCCAGCACGACGAGATCCGCAGCGGTGCCCGTGCGTCGGACGGTCTGCAGCATGACACGTGTCGCCACGTAATACTCGTAGTCACGTGGCGTGCCCATGTACAGGATCGCCACGTAAGCAAACGACGCGTTGGCTGCCACGTCGGATCGCATCAGCGAGAATTCCGGCGCCTGGCCCGGCGCGGTGGCTACGGGTTCCGCCGAAACGTGCCGCGGAACGGGGAGGGCGGCGCGTTTTGTCTCTTCTGCCACGTCACTCATCGCCACGGCCGACGCAGTAGTGCGCGCCGCCGCGAATTGCGGCGATGCGAGGAAGAGCACGCACGCGAGTAGGACATGACGAAACATAGTGCGACTCGGAGGGAAAAATGGTGTCCACTATAACGAGGAAGTGGCCTGTCTATAACGAGGATGAACTCACGCACGGTGTGACCAGTAACGAAGCAGGCAAAATGAAAGACAGAACCCCTGTCAATTTCACGAGGCGCAGATACGATACAGGCCCTCACACTACCTGCGCGAAATGCGGAGAAGCACGCAGGTGTGCCATGGTGTGGTATGCACTACTAGCCAGGAGCGGTTTACTGCTAGCCTGCTACTACCGTACCTAGATCTGTGCGATAGAGGCTATGGCGTCGCCTCGGCTTGACTAGGCCGCGTGTTCAAAATCGCGATACAGGCTGACCGTTTACAGGGCGAATAACTCTCTACTATGAAAGCAACTATGCTGACCTGCATGCAAATGTGAGACGCATTGTGTGTGCTTCCTTAGACCTAGTGCCAGTGACCAGGCCAAGGTATCACACATCAAGCACCTGGATGTCCAACACAAACACACATGATACAAAGAGATCTATACAGGGAGACCTAACCACGACACGGCAAGTATGGACCAGGAGCGGCACGGCAAGCAAGCAACCCTCATCAGCCCCACTTGACCAACCAGGCAGCTCGTCAAACCCCTGCACAGGAGTATGTGATGCGAGGCGAGGTATACACAACACGAGGAATATGGAGCGGCATGGCAAGCAGCGCTGGTCAGTTGATGACCATTCCCACTTGACCAATCAGGTGCAGACGAGGGTTGCTATGCCCGAGGTAGAACACATCAGTCACCTGAGACCCCAGCACACACACACACGAGACCAGAGGAATGCGTCATAAAACAATGTGAGAAGGGAGGAACTGTCAAGAATATCTTTGAGTCGACTCAAAAATCACAATGTGAGAACGGAGGGACTTTCAAGAATAGGGCAACAAAGCATGCCAAGTGGAACAGGAGGGAGAGAGCTGGGCGGGCAGGCAGGCAGCAATTTGAGCAGCCATGGAGCCGTCTCGCTACCTCCAGAAACATAATAGTATGCGTTGACACGACACCTTGACACCGCTGCGAAGCCATATAAAAAGGTTCCAAAAGAGACTCACTAGTGAATAAGAAGAACCTGAGGATTCACCTGGGAGCAGCCGTAGAGGCAGAGTCTGGAGAGGTTGGGGCAAGAATCGGCAAGCAGGCCGAGAGCGTGGTTGGACACGGAGCGGCACCACGACACGTCCAGAGACTCGAGAGATTCGTGGGAGCAGCGCGCCAGAGAGATAAGCAGACCGTCTCCTGCCTGTGCAGCGGGGGGGGTGCGGGTGGGAAGTGAGGGCCTTGTGTGCGTAGGAATGAGTAAGCAAGCCAAGGGCGTGCTTGGAGATAGAGCCTGATTCGAGACGATTGGACTATCGGGCAGCGTTGGAAAGAAAAACGGCGTGGTTGGAAAAAGAGTACGTTTTCGAGTCGGAAAAAAAACAGGGCGTGGTTGGTTAGAGACACTGCTACACCAGAAGGCGTCCAGGGCTCCAGAGATCCCTGCAAGCACTGCTCACCATTGCTTTGACCCCCCTCATAGACTTCATTGACTAAAAGGATCTGCAGAACAGCGTTGCAGGGGATTTTGGAGAATCCTAAACTATACCCTGTGTGACATTGTAACGAGTTGTCTTTTGGTTCGGCTCTAAGGTCACCTCGATCGCTCTGAACCACCTCATATACTGCCTGCATTGACTGCGTTGACTCACACCCACCTCATAAACTGCGTTGACCGAGAGGATCTGCAGGGCGGCGCCTGAGGCCTGGATGAGTGCCGCGAGAGCAGCGTCACTGAGAGAAGGAGACATAAGGGAGGAGACAGATGGACGACGATACGATAGATTTAGGGAGGAGGATCGCTGGATGGGGGATAGAGGATGGCTGTTAGGACATGTAGGAAAAGATAGATGGAGGGAGGAGGAAAAGATAGATGGAGGGAAAGATAGATGGAGGGAAAGATAGAAGGAGGAAAAGATAGATGGAGGGAAAGATAGAAGGAGGAAAAGATAGAAGGAGGGAAAGATAGATGGAGGGAAAGGTAGAAGGAGGAAAAGATAGATGGAGGGAAAGACAGAAGGAGGAAAAGATAGATGGAGGGAAAGATAGATGGAGGGAAAGATAGAAGGAGGAAAAGATAGATGGAGGGAAAGATAGAAGGAGGGAAAGATAGATGGAGGGAAAGATAGATGGAGGGAAAGGTAGAAGGAGGAAAAGATAGAAGGAGGAAAAGATAGATGGAGGGAAAGATAGAAGGAGGAAAAGATAGGAGGAAAAGATAGTTGGAGGGAAAGATAGAAGGAGGAAAAGATAGATAGATGGAGGGAAAGATAGAAGGAGGAAAAGATAGATGGAGGGAAAGATAGATGGAGGAAAAGATAGATGGAGGGAAAGATAGATGGAGGGAAAGATAGATGGAGGGAAAGATAGATGGAGGGACAGACAGATGGAGTGACAGGCTGCTGGAGCATATGAAGGGAAAGAAGACACTTAGGTGGCTTAGAACCCAAAGCGGATTCGAGCGAGGTTGAGTGAATGCAGCATACGGAACGTGGATAGTAGTACATAGTAAATAGTAGAAGCGTGAGGTACATACATAGTACACAAAGTATACACGGAGGTAGTATATACTGGTATATTATAGTGGCAACTGGATCTGACCAGGTTGAATGCGCATTGAAGCATTAAAATTGGCAACGAAAAAAGCAAAAAATGCAGTCTGATTGAGACCTCAAGAAAGCAGTCTTGCTACTTTGTAAGGTCCCATATAGTTTTGTACGGTGGTCTAAGAGGTGTTTGACAACGCTATTGCCTTGTCTTGTCAACGAGGCATGATCTGACAATATGCCAATCTCTCACCTGATGTTGGACTGAGTGAGCAGAGCACAGCCTCGAGACTTACCCTCATGACCCGATTCAGACACACAATCGCCCGTGCAAAAAGCGAGGTTGACTGAAGGCACCCCCCCCACTTTCCTCCCTCACTCTCCGCTCTCACTCCCTCACTCTTCACCCACACTCACCTGAAGCTGGCTCGAGTGAGGTTGAGCGAGCGAAGCTTGAGTTGGGCGGAGCACAGGGAGTGGAGGGAGGCGTCAGTGAGGAGGGGAAGGTGCGAGAGGTCTAGAGCGGTTAGGGACGGTGCGTTGGCTGCTGCTGCTGCCACTGATGCGTCTGTTATTTCTCTGTGGGTTGGGGAGGAAAGGAGGCGAGAAGGGAGAGAGGGAGGAGAGGAGAGAGGATGGGGAGGGTGAGAAAGACCTTGCTAGTGTTGTTAACAATTATGCTGCTGCTGCTGCTGCTGCTGCTGCTGCTGCTGCTACTTTTGAGGATGGAGGAGGAGCAGCTGACTTTGAGTCGACTCAAAAGTTAACGATGGTGCATATGCTGCTACTGATGTGTGTGTTATGGCCCTGCAGCAATGTGCGGAGGACGGAGGAGGGGGAGGGAAGGAGGGGATGACTATTTGAGAAGTGCGAGAGGAGGGAGAAAAGTGTCAGAGGGGAGGGGGCGAATGGGAGGGGGCGAATGGGAGGGAGCGAATGGGAGGGAGCGAATGGGATGGGGCGAATGGGAGGGAGCGAATGGGAGGGAGCGAATGGGAGGGAGCGAATGGGATGGGGCGAATGGGATGGGGCGAATGGGAGGGAGCGAATGGGATGGGGCGAATGGGAGGGAGCGAATGGGATGGGGCGAATGGGATGGGCGAATGGGAGAGGGCGAATGGGAGGGAGCGAATGGGATGGGGCGAATGGGATGGGGCGAATGGGAGGGAGCGAATGGGATGGGGCGAATGGGATGGGGCGAATGGGAGGGAGCGAATGGGATGGGGCGAATGGGATGGGGCGAATGGGAGGGAGCGAATGGGATGGGGCGAATGGGATGGGGCGAATGGGATGGGGCGAATGGGAGGGAGCGAATGGGATGGGGCGAATGGGATGGGGCGAATGGGATGGGGCGAATGGGAGGGAGCGAATGGGATGGGGCGAATGGGATGGGGCGAATGGGATGGGGCGAATGGGATGGGGCGAATGGGATGGGGCGAATGGGATGGGGCGAATGAGAGTGCTCTCTTGCTGCTTACGATGATGCATGGGGTGCTGCTAGGGAAGAAGCATGGTGTGCTGCTAGGGAAGAAGCATGCTTACTTGGAGTCCGCGAGGCAAAAGCATACACACTTACTTGCCGTGTTCCAACAGACGGCAGCATCAGACAACACGGCATCATGGTATCAGAGACTGACTGACGGCACTCCAGTCCAGAGAGCGACAGGCAGTGCGAGCAGACAGGCATTTCGGAAAGGAGGAGAGGAAGCATGCTTACTCGCAGTGCGCCAGGCAGAGCTCCTTTAAGCTCGAGCCGATTGTGGAAAGCGAATCGTTCAGCACCGCATCAGACTCCCAAGACAACCGAAAACACTCCAGATAACGACAGGCAAGACAGGCAGACAGGGTATCAAGAGAGGAGGGGAATAGAGGCACTTACTCGCAGTGCGCCAGGCAGAGCTCCTTCAAGCTCGAGCCGATTGCAGGGAGCAGGTCACTGAACACAGGATCAGGCACCGACGACACTCCACACAGCGACAGGTAGAACAGGACAGGCCTGCTTACCCCCTTGAGTCCCGGCAGCAGCACAGCAGCGTTCAGCTGGCAGCAGCCGTCCAGACGGAGGACCTTGAGCGACGAGGAGAGGGAGGAAAGGAGGGTGATACTTCTGGGGAGGAGAGGAGAAGAGGAATACTTACTCGCAGTGTGCCAGGGACAGCTCCTTCAGGTTGGAGCCGATTGCAGGGAGAAGCTCGCTCAGTACAGCGTCAGACACCGAAGACAGTCCAGCCAGCGACAGGCAGGACAGCCCTGTCAGCTGCTTCATCCCCAGGAGCAGCACAGCAGCGTCCAGCTGGCAGCAGCCGTCCAGACGGAGGGTATTGAGCGAGGAGGAGAGGGAGGAGATGAGGGTGGAAACTGCAGGGGAGGAGAGGAGCGGGCAGTGGAGGAGGGAGAGGTGCGCGAGGGCAGGCGCGGCGAGGGCGAGAGGGGGGAGGGAGGCGTCGGAGAGGCGGTATGCGCCTTGCAGGGCGAGGGAGCGGAGGGCGGGGAGGGTGGTAGGGCTGTGTAGGAGTGTGGTGGTGAGACAGGCGTCGGAGAGGCTTCGACCACACATGGAGAGATGAAAGAGCTGCGTGGGGGGGAGGGGAGGAGGAGGAGAGGAAGTTGGTTGAGTGCGAATGAAGGAGAGTAGATACTGCGAGGGAGGGAGCGGAGAGGCGGGAGGAGGGAGGGAGGGAGGAGGGAGGAGGGAGGAGGGAGGAGGGAGGAGGGAGGAGGGAGGAGGGAGGAGGGAGGAGGGAGGAGGGAGGAGGGAGGAGGGTGGAGGGAGGAGGGAGTCTGGGGGAGTGAGAGAGTGAAGGACGGGCGATGCTGCGAGGCCGGCACTGTGGGTAGTGGGCTGGGCCAACAGGTGCATTAACAGGGGCCGGTGCTGTGGGCTGCGAGGCCGGTGCTGTGGGCTGCGAAGCCGGTGCTGTGGGCTGCGAGGCCGGTGCTGTGGGCTGCGAGGCCGGTGCTGTGGGCTGCGAGGCCGGTGCTGTGGGCTGCGAGGCCGGTGCTGTGGGCTGCGAGGCCGGTGCTGTGGGCTGCGAGGCCGGTGCTGTGGGCTGCGAGGCCGGTGCTGTGGGCTGCGAGGCCGGTGCTGTGGGCTGCGAGGCCGGTGCTGTGGGCTGCGAGGCCGGTGCTGTGGGCTGCGAGGCCGGTGCTGTGGGCTGCGAGGCCGGTGCTGTGGGCTGCGAGGCCGGTGCTGTGGGCTGCGAGGCTGGTGCTCTGGGCTGCGAGGCTGGTGCTCTGGGCTGCGAGGCTGGTGCTGTGGGCTGCGAGGCTGGTGCTGTGGGCTGTGAGGCTGGTGCTGTGGGTAGCGGGCTGGGCCAACAGGTGCAGGGCTCACCCGTGAAAGAGACGCACTCACCTCTAGATTGGCCGCATTGCAGGTGCTGAGAGCGCTCTTCAGATCCGCCTCACGGACCAAGAAACAATCCGCCACTCTCAGCTCCGACGCCACTCCCTCCAGAAGCACGTGCACGGTGCACGCCATGGCGACATGGCATGCAGAACAGCATTGGTGACATGACATGCAGAACAGCATTGGTAGCACGTGGAAGCACACACTCACCTCCAGGTTGGCGGCATTGCAGGTGCTGAGAGCGCTCTTCAGATCCGCCTCACTGACCAACGAACAGTCAGCAACACTCAGCTCCGTCGCCACTCCTTCCAGCAGCAGGTGCAGCACTCGCCCGTCCAGCCGCCTCTGAGCGCTCAGGCACGCACTCAGGTCCCTCCTCACCGCGTCAGGCACCCCCTCCACCGACTCCAACCCATCTATATGCGTCGCTACTAGCTCCAGGCATAACGAGTAGAGGCTCCGCGGACCTCTCCCCCCTCCCCCCCCTCCCCCGCCTCCCCCACTCCCTCCTGTGCCTATCCGCCAATCTTTCACTCCGCCTTGCTGTTTAGAATCTGTTAAAGCCAGATCTGGAACCCTAGCTTTGGGAGTCCATGCTACAACCCCCCCGGCTACAACCGCGCTAGCGCCAGCGCCGGCTCCTGCTCTCCCCTCCGATTTTTCCACCTCCCCCGCCGCGCTTCCCCCTGTGCGCGCCCCCGCGCCCCCTTGCGCCTGCCTGGCGGCTGCAGCCGCGGCTCTCCCCCGCACCAGCTGCCTCGCGGTGGCAAACGGGCCCGGCCAATGCTCCGCCTCCCCCGCCTCCCCCCGACCTGCTCCCCCCTCCCTGCGTCCCCCCCGACCCCCTCCCCCCGCACTGTTGCCCCCCCCTGGTCCTCCTTCCCCCCCAGCCAAAGCAGGCGCGGGCGCGTCGGAGCCAGCAGCGCGTTCCGCGGCACCCGCCTGGGCCGAAGCGGAGGGGGCGGACGCGCGGGCAGCGGGAGGGGGTTCACGCACGCCCGCGCGGGGAGCGGAGGAGAGGCGGGAGGAATCGTCGAAGTGGGCGAAATGGGCGGCTCTCCGCCGTGCGATCGAGAGGAATCGACGGCGCGCCACGTCACCCGCGTCCACGCTGGCACCACCTCCGCCAACGTGTTCCGAGTCAGCGCCAGCCTGTCCAGAAGCCGTGCCAGCCGTAGCGCCATCGCCAGCCGTACGATCAGCGCTATTGTCATCCGCACGATCATCAGCCGTACGATCTACAAGCCCCCTCTGGACCCTTGCGTCGCTTGGCTCCTCATCGCCTGTCCATGCGACGTCGGGTGCGATCTCGTCGCTTGCGATATTCGCGGGTGCATCCTCCTGAATGCCCTCCGCTTCTTGAAGCGAAGGTGCTGGTTGCGGGCGTCGCATGGCTGCTGGCGACTCCGCGCGACATGGATCTCGTTCGCACACGTCGCGAGGCTTCGTCCGCCTGCGATTGCGGCTCTGGCGGCTTTCGTCGGGCCATAAGCGGCTACGGGATTAAACTGACGACGACCGTTGCAAGCGATATAAGAACGTCTCCTCTAGCAAATGATCAATTATTTGTCGGGAACGCTACTTCCAAGAGAGACTACGCGCTTTCCAGTCGCAAGTAATGATGAGCCTCTCTTACTGATCGCGAATGCCGGAACCCGATTAAAAACGGCGGATCGCGATTGAAAATGACAGATTCCGGTCGGTGACGACGAATTCTGATAAACAAGACAAGCATCCCAGAAGCTAGAGGCCACAAAGCAGCAGAGATTTGGAGCAGCAGCAGCAGAAGCAATAGTAGGTAGGAGGGCATCAGAGAGGGGTTGAGAGGTGTGGAAATGGGTAATGGGCGCGATGAGAAGGGAGGCAATGGCGTGACGGTGAAGCCTGAAAGCTATATGTTCCCAAGGAGACCAAGCTCGTCCGTGGAGCGTTTCGTTAGCACACAGAAGACGAACACTGAAATTGTTGCAAGAGCCTCTAAAATTTACAACTAAGAATGCTACAATTAAGCAATTTTACTCAAAAATCATACATGTGTTTTTCACTTCCCTGAATTCACAGCGGTTCCCTTGGAAACCGGGAACACGGAGAGAGGCTTCTGCTTGTGCAACCTATATCGCTGCGGGCGCGTAAACCTCAGTAACTCCGCACCGTGCCAGCCTGTTACCAGCCACAGCAGTCCTCGTAACCGGTCCCTTTCTAGCCTTATCTTTGTCTCTGCTTCAACCTCTCCTATCTCCTCTTTAAACTCCCCTTCCTCCTCCCCTCTCCCCTTCACAAAACGTCCCCCAGCAGCACCACTTCCATCCCCCAGTGCTTCCAGCAATGCCTCAGATATTCCGACATCTCCACCCTTCACAATCGTTCGCCTTGCTCCGTTCTTGATTTTGTAAAGGTCTCTCTTGCTCGGAAGTGATACTGTAGAGAAGGCAATCCCGTGCGTCCGCAGCACGATCGCCGCCAGCAGGGCCGCACGCGGCATGTGGTAATCTGACGTAACCACAAGCACATGCGTGATTTTAAGCCGCTGAAATGTGCGTAACATCGTCGTGAAGTTGGTAACCGTGTCCAGCGCATGGTTGTCCACTCTCAGCCGCGCAGCCGCCACGCCTTCCCCCATCATGACGTCAGCAGCATCATCATGACCCGACGAAATGAACACCGGAAGCGTCCCAGATGCTGCGGCATGAGCAGGCGGGAGAGGGTCTAGGGTACCCTCGACTAGCGGTTTGGGAGACGAGGTGAAGATAGAGTCAAAGGCAAGGCCACCAGCGGCACCGCTGTTGCCACTGCTGCTGCTGCTGGGGCTCGCCTCCTTGGAGGGGTGAGAAGATGCGGAGGAGTGGTGTGGGGTAGCCAACAGGGCGGCGAATCTCCCAGCCAATCGTTCCCTCAGGCGATCACCCCCCAGCACGAGAATGGCCTGAGGGGACGGGAGGGGGGAGGGCACGAGAGGGGAATCAACCGAGACAGGGGAAGTGGTGGGGAAGGGAGGGGACGGGAGGGGGGAGGGCACGAGAGGGGAATCAACCGAGACAGGGGAAGTGGTGGGGAAGGGAGGGGACGGGAGGGGGGAGGGCACGAGAGGGGAATCAACCGAGACAGGGGAAGTGGTGGGGAAGGGAGGGGACGGGAGGGGGGAGGGCACGAGAGGGGAATCAACCGAGACAGGGGAAGTGGTGGGGAAGGGAGGGGACGGGAGGGGGGAGGGCACGAGAGGGGAATCAACCGAGACAGGGGAAGTGGTGGGGAAGGGAGGGGACGGGAGGGGGGAGGGCACGAGAGGGGAATCAACCGAGACAGGGGAAGTGGTGGGGAAGGGAGGGGACGGGAGGGGGGAGGGCACGAGAGGGGAATCAACCGAGACAGGGGAAGTGGTGGGGAAGGGAGGGGACGGGAGGGGGAGGGCACGAGAGGGGAATCAACCGAGACAGGGGAAGTGGTGGGGAAGGGAGGGGACGGGAGGGGGAGGGCACGAGAGGGGAATCAACCGAGACAGGGGAAGTGGTGGGGAAGGGAGGGGACGGGAGGGGGGAGGGCACGAGAGGGGAATCAACCGAGACAGGGGAAGTGGTGGGGAAGGGAGGGGACGGGAGGGGGGAGGGCACGAGAGGGGAATCAACCGAGACAGGGGAAGTGGTGGGGAAGGGAGGGGACGGGAGGGGGGAGGGCACGAGAGGGGAATCAACCGAGACAGGGGAAGTGGTGGGGAAGGGAGGGGACGGGAGGGGGGAGGGCACGAGAGGGGAATCAACCGAGACAGGGGAAGTGGTGGGGAAGGGAGGGGACGGGAGGGGGGAGGGCACGAGAGGGGAATCAACCGAGACAGGGGAAGTGGTGGGGAAGGGAGGGGACGGGAGGGGGAGGGCACGAGAGGGGAATCAACCGAGACAGGGGAAGTGGTGGGGAAGGGAGGGGACGGGAGGGGGGAGGGCACGAGAGGGGAATCAACCGAGACAGGGGAAGTGGTGGGGAAGGGAGGGGACGGGAGGGGGGAGGGCACGAGAGGGGAATCAACCGAGACAGGGGAAGTGGTGGGGAAGGGAGGGGACGGGAGGGGGGAGGGCACGAGAGGGGAATCAACCGAGACAGGGGAAGTGGTGGGGAAGGGAGGGGACGGGAGGGGGGAGGGCACGAGAGGGGAATCAACCGAGACAGGGGAAGTGGTGGGGAAGGGAGGGGACGGGAGGGGGGAGGGCACGAGAGGGGAATCAACCGAGACAGGGGAAGTGGTGGGGAAGGGAGGGGACGGGAGGGGGGAGGGCACGAGAGGGGAATCAACCGAGACAGGGGAAGTGGTGGGGAAGGGAGGGGACGGGAGGGGGAGGGCACGAGAGGGGAATCAACCGAGACAGGGGAAGTGGTGGGGAAGGGAGGGGACGGGAGGGGGGGGGGGGTGTGGGTGGGTGTAAGTGAGAGCAGAGTGGGGTTGGACAGCACAAGTCGCTACATGCAGGCAGTGACTTCCTAGCACGAGAATGACCTGGTGGAAATAAAACCGAGGAGACAGGGGAGGCGAGGACGGGGTAGAGAGAGAAGGGAAAGGAGGGAGCATGAGGCAGGGTGGGGGTGGCCAGCACACATGCCGTTGCAACCAGGGCGATCGCCCTCAAGCACGAGAACGGCCTGTCAGAAGAGAGACAGGAAATAGTGCGAAGAGATAGCGAAAACACAAGGGGAGAAAGGATAAGAGAAAGGGGGGAGAAGGGAGGCGAAAGACGATGAAGAGAAGAACAGCGCGATGCAATGACAGTCAGAAGAATGGTCGAACGGCAGCTAAGCGATAGTTATGACGGAAAAGGAAGCAACGAATTGAGTTGGCAATAGTCTCTAAGCAACAACAGACTCCACAATTTTACCTGCGGGAGGTGCAGCGCAGCGGCTTGCGAAGCAGCAAGACACCCTAGCACGCGGAGGGCGAGGGCGAAGGCGGAGGCTACCTACCTTTCACTTGAGTCTACAGTGAGCTAGTAATCTCGTTTCGAAACGTCTCAAAACGAAATCACCAACACACAGAGAAGGCGAAGGCTACCTTCCTTTCACTCGAGTCTATTGTTTACCTGCGGGGGATGCAGCGCAGCGGTGCGCGCCGTAGCACGCGGAGGGCGAGCGAGAAGGTGGAGGCTACATACCTTTCACTCGAGTCTATAGTTACCTGCGGGGGATGCAGAGCAGCCGTGCGCGAAGCAGCGAGGCCCCGTAGCACGCGGAGGGTGAGCGAGAAGGCGGAGGCGAAGGCGATGGACGCCGCCGTGCCGATCAGCGGCCACAGCCATCCCGACGATGGTGATGCTGGTGATGGCGACCGCGCTGTCACGGCGGCCACAACCGCCATCTGGAGATTCCGATTCTAAACAGCCCTCAAGAATCCTCAAGAATCCTCAAGAATCCTCAAGAATCCTCAAGAATCCTCAAGAGCCCCCTCAGCAGAGTTTCTCGAACTCCAAGAATCCACAAACACGTACGACGCCGACCGCGGCGACGGTTTCTGAGATGTCTCGAAAGGCGATGATCGCGGCGCTGCAGGCTGCTGGTGGATGCGACTTAGCTAAGGAGTAGCGCGTAGACAGCAGTCGTGGACTCCGGTTAGGAGGTGCTAGTGAAAGAAAGGTGTTGTCAACACAGACCGCTTGGAGCCAAACCATCACTGAAAAAACCCTCGTTACGCAACGGATGCGTTTCAAGATAGTGTCAGGATAGAATTAACATAGAACTATTGAACTACTAGAACTACTCACACCATATCAAGCGGAATTCATACATTCCACACTAGGGATGTGGATACAATGCACAGTATGGAGATAACGTACAACTTATTATGAAATATGAAATTATGAAATATTAACGACCATCTATCATCCTTTCACCCGTCCGAGCACACAAATTCAAGAAAGCACCACAAGGCGGTCGCCTGTTCGCCACATTAGAGGTGTGTTCTTATCTTGGGGATTCAGCTGCCACTTGCCTCCGTTATTAGCACAATTATATGCTATCATCAGCTTGCGGCGACGCAGAACTCGGCTCTGTGATCCATGAAAGATGGAGGAGACCAGAGGTGACGAGACAGGAAGGCAAGCACACCAGGGAGGGCATAAGTGGGAGGAGTGCTACTGTAGCGGGTGAGTGTCGTGCGTGAATGTGCATGTGTGTGGCCGTCCACAAGAAAGGAAATGGCTTAGGGTTTAGGGTTAGAACGTTAGGTTGGAAGGTTAGGGTTGGAGTGAGAAAGAGAGTGAGCACATGAAAGTCGAAAACAAAGTGCGTCGGCATCCACAAGGAAGTGGCATCTAGGGGTTCCAGTTCGGGTTTAAAAGGTCAAAGAGTGAGTGCGAGAACGATACCTGGAGATCGAAGAAGGAGAGTGCTTCGCCGTCCACAAGGAAGGAAGTGGCATCCTCCAAGGAGAGTGACGAGCCCGACCCACTCACGATCTCGTCCAATACGCCGCCGACATCTGGCACATACAAGGGATTCCAATAAGGGATGGGGTATGGGTGATTGCTTTTGAGTTGACTCAAAACGAGCCCGACCCACACACTATCTTGTCGAAAACGCTACCGACATCTGGCGCGAGAAGGGATGGGGTTGACATGGGTTCTTGCGAATGGTACCATGGTAATGCGGCAGTGAATGTATGCACACATGAAGTATGCACACATGAAGTATGCACACATGAAGCATGCACACATGAAGCATGCAAACATGAAGCATGCACACATGAAGCATGCACACATGAAGCATGCACACATGAAGTATGCACACATGAAGCATGCACACATGAAGCATGCACACATGAAGTATGCACACATGAAGCATGCACACATGAAGCATGCACACATGAAGCATGCATGAGCACAGGGACGCAGCTGTGCAGATATGCATGTACGCATGAGCGCATATGTGTGTCGGCACTCCCACACACTCACCTGGGTCCACGGCAGTGTGAGCCAGAATGCAGGCATGCACCACGTTCGTGCCAACCAGCTCTCCTGCACCTCATCCATCACATCCCCTTCCACCACCTTACATGCGCTGTACTGGCTGCACACACCCGCTGCACTCACCCGCTGCACACAACCGTTGCACTGACTAGTACCCACCTGGGTCCATGGCAGTGTGGGCCAGAATGCGGGCATGCACCACATTGGTATCCACACTGGCATTCAGCCACCTCTCCTCTCCTGCACCTCATCTCTCGTATCCCCCTCCACCACCGCCCTAGAGACACCGCACCTGCACCACATGCTTGCAACTGACCTGGGTCCATGGCAGTGTGGGCCAGAATGCGGGCATGCACCACATTGGTATCCACACTGGCATTCAGCCACTTCTGCTGCACCTCATCCAGCATACCCCCCTCCACCACCGCCGCCGGCCGCACCCCGCTCTCACTCTCCCCATGCCCCTCCCCCTCCTCCCCTCCCTCCCCCCTCCCCTCCACCGCCGTGTCACTCTCAGCCAGCAAAGTGGCACTCGCCTGCCCTCGCTCCTTCTGAATCGTTCGGATCATCATGGCAGTCACTGAGGCGGACGGCATCAGCACCCCATCACCCCCATCACTACTACTACCGCTGCTGCTGCTGCTGCTGTAACTGTCTCCTCGGTCTGTCCCCTCGTCGTCCCGCCTCTGCTGCTGCTGCTGGTCGGGCGGAGAGGGGTGCTGGTTGCGAGGGGCGAGGACGATTACTGTGTCGAAGGCTTCTAGAGGGACCTTTTCTAGGTCTGCCATGGAGCCCAGATGGCCGTGATCTGACATGGGAATGGGGGTTGGGGGAGGGGAATTGAGTGGGGTCAGACGAGGCTGCGAGCGAGAGGCGAGGCCACGAGGACTCCATGCCATGGAGCCCAGGTGGCCGTGGTCTGGAATGGGGAGGGGGGTGGCGGAGGGAGGGGAAGGATTGGAGGACAGGGCAAGAGTGTGTGTGTGTCTGCAGCTGCTGGCCGTGCGGTCAGGGGTGCTGGGAGCGAGGGGCGAGGACTACAACGGCGTCGATTTTTGAGAATTCTAAAAAATGACTCCTCCGTGCTGGGTTTGAGGGGCAAGGACTACGAGAGCGTCGAAGGCTTCGAGACGACCTTCTCCCGGTGAGCAATTGCGCTCCTAGATGGCTGTGGTGATCTAGAAGGAGAGGATTTTTTTATGCGCATAATTAATCGTCTAGATTGCTATGGTGGTCTGGAGGGAGAGGGGGGGCGAGAGGGGGAGCGTGAGGGATTTTTGGGTGCCTACGAAACTGTCTAGATGCCTGTGGTGGTCTGGAGGGCGAGGCGGGGAAGGGGAAGGGGAAGGGGAAGGGGAAGGGGAAGGGGAAGGGGAATGGAAAGTTTTGTGGTGCGCATGCTGCTGCTGGTGATCTTGGGGTGAAGGGTTGATGATGTAGACGACCATAGGAGAATCAACAAAAATAATGACATTCTTGTAGCTTCGAGCAAGTGCAAGTGAGAGTGATACATACAAAGTGAAAGATTGAGGTTGAGCCTGCCTGGCTTCATAAACAGGTTGAGCCGCTGCTGTGCCGCAGAGAGGGGGGTTGCACTGTTGCTGGGTCACTTATGGAGGGAGGGCTTTCATCAGCTCGCCTACCTTGATGGAGGGGTTGAGGTTGAGTGCAGAGTGATACTTACAGAGGGAAAGGTTGAGGTTGAGGCCGCCTGGCTTCATGAAGGGGTTGAGCCGCTGCTGTGCTGCGGAGAGGGAAGGGGAGTCGACCATCACTGCCACCTGACTGCCTGTGCGGCCGAGAAGGGGCGGTGGATGGAGAGAGGGGAAGCAAGAGGTGGGGCAGAGATGCATGAAGGGCTTCATTCCAGGGTGCGGTAGTTGCAGTGCCGTTTAGTTTTGAGGCGCCTCAAAACTAAGCTGCATATTGGGCTTCATGATACCAGTGAGGTAGTTGCTGTGCTGCGAGGAGAGGGAAGGGGAGTCGACCATCACCACCACCACCTGACTGCCTGCTTGGAAAATGCAGGCGGGGAAGGGGAAGTCGAGGGGAGAGAAGCTGAGAGCGGTCAGCAACAGATGCAGTGTGATGAAACGCATGGGGATTCTAGTTTTGAGGCGCCTCAAAACCGACAGCCGACGCCCGACAGCCGACGACGAACAGCCGACAACCGACAGCCGACGCCCGACAGCGACGCTCGACAGCCAAAGACCGGCAGCCGACGCCCGACAGCCGACTCCCGACAGACAGCCGACGCCCGACATAGCCAACGCCCAATATATACTTCTCACTGTTACTACCCAAGCGGCTGTGATATTTGACTGGTCTTTTAATTCACGGGGAGCCAGCCTGCCACCGAGCAGCAGGAGGCTTCAGTGACTAGCTGACAACCGACAATAGAGCCGAGCCGACCACTGTCATTGGTACTAGAAACAAGAAACACCGTGCTCGTATGACAGTATTTGGACTCACTGGGAGGGGAGCCAGCCAGCTTGGCACCGAGGAGCAGGAGTAGTGAGCAGCTAACAAAGTTTCAAGTCAGCTGGAGTTAGCACTTTTAGATCAAGTCAGAGGAAGCACTCTTAGAATGCGACTCCTATTTCACTCACGGGGGGCCAGCTTGGCACCGAGCAGCAGGAGGGCCTCTGCCACGTCATCCCTCCACTCGCCCGCGATGAGCACGTTGTGGCGGCGCCGCACGTTGCCACGTGGCAGGCTGTCGTAGTGCCACGGCGTCGCAAAGGACGCCATACGCTTCTCCACCAGCTCGCGCTCCTTTGCTGACTCAGCTGTCGGCTTACGTGGCGCGTAGCTGTCTGCTGACTCAGCGATGACCAGGAGGCGGTCCCCAGGCTGATGTGGAATGGGCAAGTTAGATAAGGGAGAGGGAGAAGGATGAGGGATGGGTGGGGGAGAGGAGCGGGGGAGAGGACTGGGAGAGAGGGGTGGGGGAGAGGAGTGAGGGAGAGGGGTGGGAGAGAGGAGTGGGGGAGAGGGGTCGCCACCTCAACCACGGTGTCGCCAGGGGGTGGATCAATGTCCAATCATCGCCCATGCCTTTCTGTCCTCAGCCCCGGCCCAGACCATGCACTTATCCGATTCACTTTAGTCCCACTCACCTCAATGACAGTGTCGCCAGGGGGATTAATGAGCGTCCTCTCGTCCTCTGTGCCAACCATCTGCTGCACGCCGCACGGCACACACTCCCTTCCATCCCACTCCCTTCCATCACACTACGTCCAATCAGCACACTCACCTCAATCACAGTGTCCCCAGGGGGGTTGATGAGCGTCCTCTCGTCCTCCGTGCCAACCATCTGCTGCACGCCGCACGGCACAGCATCCTCAAACAGAAACATTGCCTCGGCAAAGGTCCGTCCCTCCAGCTCCCTCCTGCCAAGGTGCAAGAGAAGCACAGGCAGCACATGTGCCTCAATCACAATGTCGCCTGGGGGATTGATAAGGGTCCTCTCGTCCTGAGAGAGCCACGTGTGCGTGTGCATGTGTGTGCTGGGATGGGTTTGGAGGAGAGATGTCATTTGAGTCGACTCAAAGGTCCGCCCCTCCAGCTTGAGAGCCTTGTCACATGTGCGTGCGTGTGTGCGCAGGGAAGGGTTTTGAGGCGCATCAAAAGCCCCAGCTTTAGAGCCATTTGTGTGTGTGTGTGTGTGTGTGTGTGTGTGTGTGTGTGTGTGTGTGTGTGTGTGTGTGTGTGTGTGTGTGTGTGTGTGTGTGACGATTCTTTGAAGTGGCGGCCTGCCCCTTTGAAGCTCAGCGGCTCAGCAGCTACAGCACTTCCTGCCGGCTGTAGCGCCGGCTGTAGCGCCAGGCCCACCAGCCACCTCAGAGCCATGCGAGTGCAAGTGCATGTGGGCCCGGATGGCAGGATAGATGGGAGACTTGCCCCTCCCACTCTTACCATTCCTTAAAATGAAACTCAGCTCCCTTGAAACTTAGCATCTCAGCAGCTACAGCAGAGCCGGCCGGCTGTAGCGCCAGGTCCACCAGCCGCCGCAGAGCCATGCCGCCCGTCTCCACCGGCACCAGCTTGCGCCGCCTCACCGCCGCACGCGAGCCGGCCCTGGCTCGACTGGCCGGCGCAGCGGGGACGGCAGGAGAGCGGTTGGTGGTGGAAGGTAGTGCTGAGGCAGCTGCAGTACCGTCAGGGGTGATTGTTGAGGGGTTTATTTTGGCTGTGGTAGTAGTGGTGGCAGTGGCAGCAGTGGTGGTGGCGCTGGTAGTGGTAGTGGAGGGAGATGACGAAGAGGCGATGGCAGTAGCTGCTGAGCCGGCGTGTGTGACGATGCGAGACGGGTCTGATGATGGCGATGACCTGCGGAGGGATGTGCATTGAGCAATAAAAAGTGAGATGGCGGCAGAGGCATCTTCTGTGGCGGCAGAGGACAGAGGAGGACCAGCTGAGTGGAAGTTTTGAGGCGCCTCAAAACTGCAAGTGTCATGTTTTGCTGACCCGACGTGTGTTGCTGCTGCCTAGCTCCCTTTCTTTTGAGGGGCACGCCAGCTCTTGAGTCGACTCAAAAGTCACCTCTGCTGCCTAGCTTCCTTTCTTTTGAGGGGCACGCCAGCTCTGGAGACTCTTGAGTCACGCAGCCTCACACAGAGCACGTCAGTCAACTATCTCAAATGGACTCACCCGATGATCATGTGCTGCTGCCTCGCTTTGTCCAGCCGTTTCCTCCAGCTCGCATGCAGCTGTGCTGTCCCAGCAGCGCCGTGTTCTCAGGAGGGACGTGCTATCAACTTAACCAAGCATCTGCTGCTGCCTCGCTTTATCCAGCCGTTTCATTCATGAGGCTCACATGAGGCTCACATGAGGCTCACATGAGGCTCACATGAGGCTCACATGAGGCTCACATGAGGCTCACATGAGGCTGACATGAGGCTCACATGAGGCTCACATGAGGCGGAGCCGTTCCGGTTTGGGGAAGCCGTTTGATTCATGAGGCTCATATTCAGTCTCCCCAGCAGCATGGCGTCCTCGGCGCATGCCAGCATACCTGGGGTCTAGCTTTGAGGCGCCTCAAAACTAGACTCCCCAGCAGCATGGCGTTCTGGGCGCATGCCAGCGTACCTGGGGTCTAACACCAACCACCATATCACTCCGCCAACGCACCCGATCATGTGCTGCTGTCTGGCTCTGTCCAGCCGTTTTCATCAGGCTCGCGTCGCATGCAGTCGACCCAGCCAGCTGCATGGTGGACATGTTATCAACTCACCTGACCATATGCTGCTGCCTCGTTTTTTCCAGCCACTTCACGAGGCTCACATGCAGCTGGCCCAGAAGCATGGTGCTCTCGGAACTCACCAGCTAAGGCGTACTCGCAAGACAACTCAAACTTGGACCCATCGACTCACCTGACCATGTGCTGCTGCCTGGCTCTACCCAGCCGTTTCATGAGGCTCGCTTGCAGGTGCCCCAGCAGCATGGTGCTCTCATCTCAGGGCATGCCAGCTCAGGTGATTCTTGAGTTAAGCAGCCTGACTGACACGCAGAAGCTCACCCGATCATGTTTTGCTGTCTGGTTCCGTCCACCTCTTCATCAAGCTCGCATGCAGCTGCACCAGCAGCATGGTGCTCTCAGGAGGGGCATGCGAGCCAGCTCGGGTGATTCTTGAGTCAAGCAGGCTGACTCACACAAGCTCACCAGCTGATGTCAGTGGACTCACTCACCCGACCATGTGCTGCTGCCTGGCTCTATCCAGCCGCTTCATCAGGCTCGCGTGCAGCTGCCCCAGCAGCATGGTGTTCTCGGGGCATGCCAGCTCAGCAACCACGTCACCCTGGATTTCAGGAAGCACTGCCAGTGCCATGGCGGTTTGCAGCACCTGGTGATCGGCAGAGGGAACAGTAATGGTAAAGCATGCAATAACGGGGATGGGAATAGTGAGGGGAGGGAGAAGAGGGGAGGGAGAAGAGGGGAGGGAGAAGGGACTCGGGATGGTGGGATGCATGCACACATCACACACTGAGCAGCAAAAAGGATGCGGCAGCTGTGGCATGGGATGCTTTTGAGTCGACTCGAAAGCGGATGATTTGAAATCACACTGGGCACTGGATGCAGCAGCTGTGGCATGGGATGGCGACGTTAGGGGATACACCTAGCTTCATGTGATTTTGGCCACAAGGTGAGGTGATCAAAGTAACGGCATATGGACAGGGCGGTGGGGAGCGGAATACCCCTTTCCGCCTAAAGTCCTGCCATTTTGCCTGGACCAAAGGAGTCTCTCACCTGGGAATTGCTGTTCTCACCTGAGGGTCTGTTGTTTTCACCTGAGCATCAGCCTGGTGGCGAGAGGGCAGCTGGGGCGAGAGGATGACAATGGAGGCTGCCTGGGAGGCAGAGCAGCGGTTGAGATCCGCTGCTTTGAGGGGGTCGCCGTGGCGAGTCATGACCTGGGGAGGGGAAGGGTGGGGAGGGGCAGGAAAGGAGGGGTTGGGAACAAGGCAATGGTGATGATGGGGTCGGGAAAGCCTAGGAGGGGCAGCAGCGGTTGAGATCCGCTGCCTTGAGAGGGTCGCCGTTGTTGTAAAATATATATCTATACAACATGCATGCCTAGATTAGGAGGTGTAGTCATTATAATTATTGGGGGGTTGTTGGTTGGGTTGACCAACCCCACATTTGGGTTGGTCAAGATTGGACTTGGTCTTAGACATTTGGTTGGCACTATTCCAACCAAATGGTCCTTGGTCCTAAGAACCAACCAATCATCAAGCACCACACTTTGTGGTTGCTTGCCTTCCAAGCAACCTCTCCCATTGGTCCACCTTGTGGCCAATCGGAGAGCACCACACTTAGTGGTTGCTTGCCCTACAAGCAACCCCTCCCATTGGTCCACTTTATGGCCAATAGGAGAGCTTCCTGTCCAACTCTTCCTTGCTCCTTGTCTTGTACAATAGAGCCTCTTGGCTCCCTACTCAATTCAATCCTTTCTCCTCTAAGCTACTTCCTTCAGCCGTGGCGAGTCATGACCTGAGGAGGGGTAGGGTAGGGTAGGGTAGGGTAGGGTAGGGTAGGGTAGGGACAGGATGACGGAGATGGGGATAAGGCAATGGGGGTGAGAGAGAGGATGACAATGGAGGCTGTCCGAGAGGCGGAGCAGAGGCTGACATCTGCTGCCTTGAGAGGCGGAGCAGAGGCTGACATCTGCTGCCTTGAGAGACTGTGACAAGGGATGGGGGGGTGAGAACAAGGTAGGGGGGATGGGACGGGGGGGTGAGAACAAAGTAGGGGGGACGGGACGGGGGGGTGAGAACAAAGTAGGGGGGATGGGACGGGGGGGTGAGAACAAGGCAGGGGGGATGGGACGGGGGTAGGATCACCTATCTGCCAGCGCCACCACTGACAGCCATTCTTCAATCAACACTCATTCTCTCGCTCCCTCACCCCTTGACCCACTCCCTCACTCCCTCACTCCCTCACACCCTCACTCCCTCCCTCCCTCACTCACCCGCATCCCTCCTCTCTCTTCGACCGGCACAGCCTCCAGAAGCTCGCCGTCCATCTCCTGGGTCTCCCTGTCCGCCAGCACCACCACTGACGGCCGCTCCCCTGCCTCCACCAGCGCTCGCACCAAGGGAATGGTCTTGGGGGTCCAACCTGGGGGTGGGAGGACGGGGGAAAGGGTGAGAGGGCGGGTTTAGGAAGGGGGAGAAGACGCAGCACCACCACTGACGGCCACTCCCCAGCCTCCACCAGTGCTCGAACCAAGGGATTGGTTTTGGGGGTCCAACCTGGGGGTAGGGGGAGTGGGGAGCCAAGGGAGGGGGTGGGTCTACACCCTATCTCCCATCCGCCAAAATCACCACTGACGGCCGCTCCCCCGCCTCTACCAGTGCTTGCACTAAGGGAATGGTTTTGGGGGTCCAACCTGGGGGAACGTGTAGAGAAGGGAGGACGGGGGGAGAAGGTGAGAGGGCGGGTTTATGAAGGGGGAGAAGGGCAGCATCATCACTGACGGCCGCTCCCCTGCCTCCACCAGTGCTTGCACCAAGGGAATGGTCTTGGAGGTCCAGCCTTCATAGATAGGAGGGAAAGAGGAGGGGGAGAAGCAGAGGAGGTGAAAGAGGGCTGCAGATATTCATGATAAAACAAAATAAAGCATGGTACAATATATTACATCATACAATAGAGAGCAGTACAGTTCTAGCACATCAGGCTCAAACAACAGATTACCGATGCATATATAAACACATATTTCAAATCATGGTGCGTATGCATTTGTATATTCCCTTCAACCAGCCTTTGAAAAAACACACACTCACGCACACAAACAAACAAACTCACCGCACACGAGTGTGTGGTTGCTCTCTATGACGGCCCCGTTGCCCTGCTCCAGCTGATCCACCTTGCTGGCCACCAGGTCCGTTGCCAGACCCACCAGCAACGCAAAGAAGAGCATTCCGCCAACTGATACCACTGCGCTCACCACACGTTTGGGACCAGTAGCCTGTGGTCGTTGGAGGTTGTGCGAAGGGGGGTGGGGTGTGAGGAGGGGGGGGGGGGGGTATGAAAAAGAAGGCTGGCTAGTAGCTACCAGGTCCGTTGCCAGACCAACTTGCATCGCAAAGAACAGCATTTCGCCCACTGATACTACTGCATTCACCTGCTCTCTTTGTGCAGTGTCCACCTCATTCGCCTACTCTTTCTGAGCCGGGCTTACCTCATTCGCCTGGTCACTGTGGGGGGGCGTCCTCAGTAACCTACTCCCTTAATGCGCCCACGCCCACCTCATTCACCTGCTTTCTGTCCGCCCACCGCCCACCATCCACCGCCCACCGCCCACCGCCCACCGCCCACCGTCCACCGCCCACCGGCCACCGCCCACCGGCCACCGCCACCGGCCACCGGCCACCGGCCACCGTCCACCGCCCACCGCCCACCGCCCACCGCCCACCGCCCACCGCCCACAGCCCACAGCCCACCGCCCACCGCCCACCGCCCACCGCCCACCGCCCACCGTCCACCGCCCACCGCCCACCGTCCACCGTCCACCGCCCACCGTCCACCGCCCACCGCCCACCGCCCACCGTCCACCGCCCACCGTCCACCGTCCACCGCCCACCGCCCACCGTCCACCGCCCACCGTCCACCGTCCACCGCCCACCGCCCACCGTCCACCGCCCACCGCCCACCGCCCACCGCACACCACCCACCGGCCACCGGCCACCGGCCACCGCCCACCGCCCACCGCCCACCGTCCACCGCCCACCGCCCACCGCCACCGGCCACCGTCCACCGCCCACCGCCACCGGCCACCGTCCACCGCCCACCGCCCACCGCCCACCGCCCACCGCCCACCGTCCACCGCCCACCGCCCACCGCCCACAGCCCACAGCCCACCGCCCACCGCCCACCGCCCACCGCCCACCGCCCACCGCCCACCGCCCACCGTCCACCGCCCACCGCCCACCGTCCACCGCCCACCGTCCACCGCCCACCGCCCACCGCCCACTGCCCACCGCCCACCGCCCACCGCCCACCGTCCACCGGCCACCGTCCACCGGCCACCGGCCACCGGCCACCGGCCACCGCCCACCGCCCACCGCACACCACCCACCGGCCACCGCCCACCGCCCACCGCCCACCGGCCACCGGCCACCGTCCACCGCCCACCGTCCACCGCCCACCGCCCACCGCCCACAGCCCACCGTCCACCGCCCACCGCCCACCATCCACCGCCCACCCCCCACCGCCCACCGTCCACCGTCCACCGCCCACCGTCCACCGCCCACCGCCCACCGCCCACCGTCCACCGCCCACCGTCCACCGTCCACCGCCCACCGTCCACCGCCCACCGTCCACCGTCCACCGTCCACCGCACACCGTCCACCGCCCACCCTCCACCGTCCACCGTCCACCGCCCACCGCCCACCGCCCACCGTCCACCGCCCACCGCCCACCGTCCACCGCCCACCGTCCACCGTCCACCGCCCACCGCCCACCGCCCACCGCCCACCGCCCACCGCCCACCGTCCACCGGCCACCGTCCACCGGCCACCGGCCACCGCCCACCGCCCACCGCCCACCGCCCACCGCACACCACCCACCGGCCACCGCCCACCGCCCACCGGCCACCGGCCACCGGCCACCGTCCACCGCCCACCGTCCACCGCCCACCGCCCACCGCCCACAGCCCACCGTCCACCGCCCACCGCCCACCATCCACCGCCCACCCCCCACCGCCCACCGTCCACCGTCCACCGCCCACCGTCCACCGCCCACCGCCCACCGCCCACCGTCCACCGCCCACCGTCCACCGTCCACCGCCCACCGTCCACCGCCCACCGTCCACCGTCCACCGTCCACCGCCCACCGTCCACCGCCCACCCTCCACCGTCCACCGTCCACCGCCCACCGCCCACCGCCCACCGCCCACCGCCCACCGCCCACCGCCCACCGCCACCGGCCACCGGCCACCGGCCACCGTCCACCGCCCACCGCCCACCGTCCACCGCCCACCGTCCACCGTCCACCGCCCACCGCCCACTGCCCACCGCCCACCGCCCACCGCCCACCGTCCACCGGCCACCGTCCACCGGCCACCGGCCACCGGCCACCGGCCACCGCCCACGCCCACCGCACACCACCCACCGGCCACCGCCCACCGCCCACCGCCCACCGGCCACCGGCCACCGTCCACCGCCCACCGTCCACCGCCCACCGCCCACCGCCCACAGCCCACCGTCCACCGCCCACCGCCCACCATCCACCGCCCACCCCCACCGCCCACCGTCCCACCGTCCACCGCCCACCGTCCACCGCCCACCGCCCACCGCCCACCGTCCACCGCCCACCGTCCACCGTCCACCGCCCACCGTCCACCGCCCACCGTCCACCGTCCACCGTCCACCGCACACCGTCCACCGCCCACCCTCCACCGTCCACCGTCCACCGCCCACCGCCCACCGCCCACCGTCCACCGCCCACCGCCCACCGTCCACCGCCCACCGTCCACCGTCCACCGCCCACCGCCCACCGCCCACCGCCCACCGCCCACCGCCCACCGTCCACCGGCCACCGTCCACCGGCCACCGGCCACCGCCCACCGCCCACCGCCCACCGCCCACCGCACACCACCCACCGGCCACCGCCCACCGCCCACCGGCCACCGGCCACCGGCCACCGTCCACCGCCCACCGTCCACCGCCCACCGCCCACCGCCCACAGCCCACCGTCCACCGCCCACCGCCCACCATCCACCGCCCACCCCCCACCGCCCACCGTCCACCGTCCACCGCCCACCGTCCACCGCCCACCGCCCACCGCCCACCGTCCACGCCCACCGTCCACCGTCCACCGCCCACCGTCCACCGCCCACCGTCCACCGTCCACCGTCCACCGCCCACCGTCCACCGCCCACCCTCCACCGTCCACCTCCACCGCCCACCGCCCACGCCCACCGCCCACCGCCCACCGCCCACCGCCCACCGCCACCGGCCACCGGCCACCGGCCACCGTCCACCGCCCACCGCCCACCGCCCACCGCCCACCGCCCACCGCCCACCGCCCACCGTCCACCGCCCACCGCCCACCGCCCACCGCCCACCGCCCACCGCCCACCGCCCACCGCCCACCGCCCACCGCCCACCGCCCACCGTCCACCGTCCACCGTCCACCGCCCACCGCCCACCGCCCACCGCCCACCGCCCACCGCCCACCGCCCACCGCCCATCGCCCACCGCCCACCGCCCACCGTCAACCGCCCACCGCCCACCGCCCACCGCCCACCGCCCACCGCCCACCGCCCACCGTCCACCGCCCACCGCCCACCGTCCACCGCCCACCGTCCACCGTCCACCGCCCACCGCCCACCGCCCACCGCCCACCGCCCACCGTCCACCGGCCACCGTCCACCGGCCACCGGCCACCGGCCACCGCCCACCGCCCACCGCCACCGCACACCACCCACCGGCCACCGCCCACCGGCCACCGCCCACCGGCCACCGCCCACCGTCCACCGCCCACCGTCCACCGCCCACCGCCCACCGCCCACCGCCCACCGCCCACCGTCCACCGCCCACCGCCCACCATCCACCGCCCACCACCCACCGTCCACCGCCCACCGTCCACCGCCCACCGTCCACCGCCCACCGTCCACCGCCCACCGTCCACCGCCCACCGTCCACCGTCCACCGCCCACCGTCCACCGCCACCGCCCACCGTCCACCGTCCACCGCCCACCGCCCACCGTCCACCGCCCACCCTCCACCGCCCACCGCCCACCGCCCACCGCCCACCGCCCACCGCCCACCGCCCACCGCCCACCGCCCACCGCCCACCGCCCACCGCCCACCGCCCACCGCGCCCACCGCCCACCGCCCACCGCCCACCGCCCACCGTCCACCGCCACCGCCCACCGCCCACAGCCCACAGCCCACCGCCCACCGCCCACCGCCCACCGCCCACCGCCCACCGCCCACCGCCACCGTCCACCGCCCACCGCCCACCGTCCACCGCCCACCGTCCACCGTCCACCGCCCACCGCCCACCGCCCACCGCCCACCGCCCACCGTCCACCGGCCACCGTCCACCAGCCACCGCCCACCGCCCACCGCCCACCGCCCACCGCCCACCGCACACCACCCACCGGCCACCGCCCACCGCCCACCGGCCACCGGCCACCGCCCACCGTCCACCGCCCACCGCCCACCGTCCACCGCCCACCGCCCACCGCCCACCGCCACAGCCCACCGTCCACCGCCCACCGCCCACCATCCACCGGCCACCGCCCACCGCCCACCGGCCACCGCCCACCGCCCACCGTCCACCGCCCACCGCCCACCGTCCACCGCCCACCGCCCACCGCCCACCGCCCACAGCCCCCACCGTCCACCGTCCACCGCCCACCGTCCACCGCCCACCGTCCACCGCCCACCGTCCCGCCACCGCCACCGCCCACCGTCCACCGTCCACCGCCCACCGTCCACCGCCCACCGTCCACCGCCCACCGCCCACCGCCCACCGCCCACCGCCCACCGCCACCGCCCACCGCCCACCGCCCACCGCCCACCGCCCACCGCCACCGCGCCACCGCCCACCGCCCACCGGCCCACCGCCCACCGTCCACCGCCCACCGCCCACCGCCCACCGTCCACCGTCCACCGCCCACCGTCCACCGCCCACCGCCCACCGCCCACCGTCCACCGCCCACCGTCCACCGTCCACCGCCCACCGCCCACCGTCCACCGCCCACCGTCCACCGCCCACCGTCCACCGCCCACCGTCCACCGCCCACCGCCCACCGCCCACCGCACACCACCCACCGCCACCGGCCACCGGCCACCGCCACCGCCACCGCCCACCGCCACCGCCACCGCCACCGCCCACCGCCCACCGCCACCGGCCACCGTCCACCGCCCCACCGCCACCGGCCACCGTCCACCGCCCACCGCCCACCGCCCACCGCCCACCGCCCACCGTCCACCGCCCACCGCCCACCGCCCACAG